AATATTTATATTACAATGTACATCTTTATTCTTTCCCGGTATAATTTATGGCGTTTCTTACTTCAATTGGCAATCGCGTCATTATATAATCATAGTCAAATTGATCAAACGAAACTCCGTTTTGATTATAGTCAATTATGAAATATTCATTGATTTATGACATTTTGATACTACCCGTAGACCTGCCGAGCAGCTGTAGATATCAAACTAAACCAAATTATAAAAGATAGAGGGTAAAAAAAATCAAAAAGTTATGTGCTAGTCAAGCTTTCAGGGATCGGTCTGAGCCATAACAATGCCCCAGCCGATCCCTTAGTTCTCTTCCGGGGTCTCGGCGTCCCCGACCAATACACACTTCCTTCCCTATCCATCCATATAACCCCAGAGGGCCAGGCACCATGTAAAAGCAAAGAGCTAAGGGAGGAACAGGGCGGCCCCTAAGCCCTGATCCTCCGAGTGGACCACATGCCCTGAACCTGTACGAAGGCGCCAACCTGGAACTCGCGGACAGTACCAGCAGCAGTGCTTACCGATTAAGCTAAGGTACTGTTGGTACTTTACGACGGGAAATTTAATCTCTTATAGTAAATAATTGAACTCATACGTTAAAAACCAAAAAGACACCAGCGGGATTCGAACCCGGGACCCCGCTAACCGTGGACGACGAATCGTAACCACTCGGCCATTTCGTTACCTTAGAATTTTCCTTAAACTGAGAAAAGTTGTCTTTATAGGTGAGCAAACGCGCCAGGAAGATTACTCGGTCCATTTGCTTAACCTTAATGGTAAAAACAAGTCGATATAATGAGCCCAGTGTGTTTGGTTTGTTAGGAAGCTGCATAACACAGCCTAATGTGCAAAACGGTCGTGTGCTAGGCGGATCATTACGCAACAATGAACACCGCAATTGTGTATTTTCAAAAGGCAGACGCGTAGATTTCTACTCTTTGTATCTGGGCACATATAAATTCTCACCTCCCTCTTCAGCTATTTCGACTTTCTTAAAAAGAAAAATAAAGACTGTCAGCGAATCTCCGGGAGTTAAAATAAGGATCGTCCCCTCGATAGACCTCAGACTCAGTAAAGTTCAACATTGGGCTCTTTTTCAACAGCTGTTTTTGCGGAAACTTTACATCTGGATTTTTGAGAAGCATCTGATTTTGCCCAATTTTAGTAAAATATGCTCCAAATGTTGCTAAAAAAGCAGGGTTAACCCCTTACCATTTTAGATTTTTCATACAAATCTGATTTTGCCAAATTTTACTAAATATACAAGGTACACCTCTTACAATTTTAAAATTTTTTCATAAACATTTCTTTTTGCCCAATTTTGCTAGAAATACAAGGTTAATCCCTAACAATCTGCAATTTTCCAGATTCATCTGATTGTGTCCTATTTTGCTAAAAAAAATGCAAGGTTAACCCCTTACAATTTGAATTTTTTTCATGAACATCTAATTTTTCCCAATCTTATTCAAAAAGCAAGGTTAACCCCTGACAATCTGCAATTTTCCAGAAACATTCGATTGAACAAATCTGCAATTTTCCAGAAACATTTGATTTTTTCCCATTTTCGCTTTAAAAAAATGCGAGGTTAACCCCTTTCAATTTGAAATTTTTCGTAATATCTAACTTTGCAAAATTTCACTTAAAAAGCAAGGTTAATCCCTTACATCTGAAATATTTCGGAAACATCTGATTTTGCCCAATTTCGCTAAAATATGCAATGTTCACCCCTTACCATTTGAAATGTTTCATAAACATCTAATCCCATACAATCTGCAATTTTCCAGAAACATCTAATTTTGCCCAATTTTACATCAGTTATGCTAACAAATTATCAGGTAACTGGATCATTATACGGGACCGGTGCACATCGGCCTTGGAGCTCAGACCATGTGTCATGCACTCCTCAATGCATAGATGATGCACATAACACTATGGGTAGTACAGGCACAGCTGGGGGTACTGTCCAAACAATGATGAACGCATTGCGTATGCTTAAAGAATTACCCACAACTCCGGTTTTTACCGTTTAGGTCTGGCTCTAATCACTTTACGCGATCCCCTGACGTCTCATACACTGACTTTAGGCAAAAAAGTCAGACTTTCGCGGTCTAGTAACCAGACTTTGACTCTTAACGAAACATCGAATGAAAAGGGAAACATCAAATGCATATTGCAAAAGATCGAATGCAAACATACCGATGAAACATCGAATACAAATAGCTCGAAATGTCAAACACTATGTGTAAAACATTGCTCACATATTTGAGAATATCGCAAATATATTGTAAAACAACACACACAATTGTATCGAAAAACATCGCACATTTAATGCAAAAAATCGAACATAATATTGAAAACATCGCACATATATATCGTCAAAAACATTGCACATATAAATTGAAAATCGCATATAAATGTAAAACATCGCACACATAATTATTGTAAAACATCGCACAAATATATTAAACGTCTCGCAAATAATGAAAAACATCGCACACTTATATTGAACATCGCACATAAATGTAAAAGATATTGAACATCCAACATATATATTGCAAAATATTGAATATTGCAACGTTTGACACTCCATACAGATCAGGGTCGAAACTTCGAGTCACATGTGTTTCAGGAAGTTTGTCAGCTACTCGGATCGACAAAACTAGGACCACTGTTCTTCATCCTCAATCTGATGGACGGTTTAATCCAGTGTTGTGAGACTTGAGTCCAGGACTCAGACTCGAGTCACATTTTTCGTGACTCCCACTCGATTCGAGTCACATTGGAAAATGACTCGGACTCGACCATGATGACTTGGACTCAAGCTTGGTGACTCGCAACTCGAGTCACGTATATTCATCAAAAGAAAAAACCATAACGTTACGTATTTGAGCGACGAATTAGCATTCTTTTTTACTCCATAGACAAAACACGGCGCCGCGGAAAATCGTATAATGTTTGAAAAATGTTTGGATGATAAAACATGGAGGGAAGTGGTGGAAGGAAGGGATGGAGGTTTTTTTTAGGGATGGAAATTAAAAGGAAAACAGATTTTGGGTCTAAACAACATTTACACACGCAAGGTAAACTATATATTACACTGGGATTTACTAAAAAGACAGAATGGATGATTGAAAATAATTTTTAAAAAATCATTAGTTTGGTGAACAACTAAGAACAAGTGACTCGTGACTCAGACTCGGACTCTGAGTCGAGGTTTGTGACTCGAGACTCGGACTCGGACACGACGTATTGGTGACTCGACTGCAACACTGCATAATAGACCACTCCGGCGGCGGCTAGGAACAAAAGCAATAAAAAGGCATAAAAACTGTCCGTTACAATATGTGATGCGATCAAGCTAGATGAGTCGTTTGTCGGGAATTTTTTATGTGGAGATACAGGCCCATACAGGGCCACTTCATCACATCACTTCATCACATCTCTTGATGTTCTGACTTATGCTGCTGCCGATCGTCGCGTTTACCGTGAACGGACGAATTTGACGAACGCCTTGACCAAGGCTAGACTAGTGGTTAAGCAAAGCGCGCTTGCGCACTGCGCGTTCACGCTGCACACGTACACGGACCATAGTCGGGAGGTATTATAACACTCTTTAAGACCGGTGGGAGTCTGGATGGGTGATAATTACACGAGGCGAAACAGAGTACCAAACGAGCACATATTTATTCCCATTCATAAATACCTCAGTTTCGGTTCAAAAAAATCTTTTCTGTCCAAAAATCAAAACAAGTAAAAAACTAGACGTTGCCAACCATTTTGTTCAACAATTTTACTTCATGTTTTACGAAACACCCCTCTAATTATAATATGGAATGCCCCTCCACAACTCGTTACCTAATTATAAGGACATTGGCGTGCGCGTCGCGCGTACTGCGCGATGTCGCGCAAAACGCAGCTGGGCTGGTGTAGTGTGAATTTCGGACGATACTGATTCACTGGTAGTATTGCGCATGCATATGTTTGAAATTGTGAACGTTCAACAAATGAAACGTAAAAGGCAGCGGATTTCATGGGAGTCCAAATTTCATGTGACACTGGAAAAGTGTTTAAGACCAGCTAGCCATGTCTTTATCATCCGTTTAAGACCGGCCACGTGACGGGCTCTCGACCAATAGGAATGCGTAAACTGTCTTAGGTATTTATGAATAAGACGTAAAAATGGGCCTCTCCGACAAGCTAAAAATATTGAAAACATTGGTCATAATTTTTTTTCGCCCGGTTTTGAGCACTTCATAGCCTGGACTCCTTCCGTAACGTAGGGAGGAAATGGACCTGGCTGGGCTAGGAAGAACCCAAGTCCAAGGCTGGAGGTGAAGTGGTGTGGATGAGACAACAGGCTAGCTTCACGAGATTGACTTTGGAGTCACAGTGAGGCAAGTGACGGAGACAGCCATTTTTCCGGGTGGCCGGAGATAAGGTGAAATATACAGAGTATATCTGCCTTCACATGCGCCAATCGAGGCCCACACACGTGGACAACCACATCCGGTAACCTGTGAAATTCTCAACTTCTAGAGGGGGTACCGGGTGTTATTAATTTAACACCAGTGAGGGGTATAAAGCTCCTCTGCTGCCCCAGCTAGGTGTAGCAGGGGGTGAATCTGCATCGCCGAACCCTTTGGGTTTCATCGACTGAAGAACAATCTGAAGTCACTTCAGCCACCACATTATGCTTGGAGCCTCAACTACCAATATTGCCCAATCGAGTTACTCCGCACGAGATCATCAAGTGTTCATCGATGGGGCTATCTCGCCCTGCAATCTAGCGCACCAGGGTCAGCCACCCTCAGCTTAGCTTAGATTTCATCGATGGGGCTATCTAGCCCAGCTATCGGGGGAAAATAAATTTGATAGAAGTACAAGTAGCCTGCCGCTTTTGGACGCGATGCGTCTATATACTATGGTCGTTTCTTTAAATGTGTAGCGCCCTCAAAAGTCGAGGCGCGAATATATAACATTATTAGGCCTAATGGCGGCGCCCTTGGCCTACCATCATGACCATGGGCATGTGTTTCGTGGTTTCGTCGTGAAGATGAGCACTGCGGTAAGAAATTTTGCTCTTTCCCAGTTTTTTTATTTGAAGTTGAATAAGTAACGTTATAAGAAACTGTATCTGTTAAGTATGGTACTTGGTAGACACAAAAACAGTTCGTTTTTGCATGTTAATTGTAGATGTATCTGAGTTTGATTGCAGAATACCCCGCCACTCGAAAATACACCCCTAAAATCACTGGCTACGAGGTTGGAATCACTGCAAAAGAAACAATTCAAGTCCATTGCCAGCTACACGTAAACTGAGTGGGGGTCCATTATTTGAGAACGAAGCAACACAAAATGAATGGGAGTTGCTGAAAAAAATTCTAAGTCCAAACCAACCACCCTGTTGGCGGCTACGAGGCTACGGAGTGGGAGTCCCCTTGAATATGCTTGAGAACGAAGCAACACAAAAGGAATGGGAGTTGCTGAAAAAATTCTAAGTCCAAACCAACTACCCTGTTGGCGGCTACGCGGTCATGAAGTGGGAGTGCAATGGAGCATGACGCATAGTTCACACAAGTAGCGCTGAGAATGTTTATTGAGGTCAATCAACCGTGACCTCGTAGCCGGCTACGAGGTGGATAGATTGAGTGGCGGGGTATTCTGCAATTGTGCCTAGTACTACGTACTAGCGCTGGAGACATAACAATTAACAGCATAACCAGCATGACCAGCATGACCAGTGTCAGTGAGAGTGTGGAGAGACCCTTCCAGAACGGCCTCCCCAAATTGTCCTTTTTCACCTCTTTTATTCCACCCCAGATTCCATTCGCATACCTCATCAACAGTCATTCACGTAGCCCGACTGCATCTGGCCGTACAGTTGGTAGGCAAGCTCTGTAGTACGGCTAGCCCCACTAGTGTGGCCGCGGTATGCTGCGCTGAACCTCTGGCCACACACCGTGGTACCGCGCACTACTGAGGACGAAGTTTTCAAAAAAATTACGGTCGGTTTCTTACATATGGTTGTATTCTTTGATGTCGCATCTATCACTTCTGGGATGCTTAGGTGTAATGATGTTCAATTTTCCGAGATATTCTTGAATCTTTCTGGAGCCCATATGCACTCGTGAAACGTCTGGCGATGGCAGCCATTTTGAATGTGACAAGAGATGACCTCAAGCTGTGACGTCGCGTTTATGCAAATTGCTTGTCGAGCGAGGGCGCGAGTTGCAAATGCGACGGCTGTTTCCTGTACCATGCATTTATCGTCTGGGGGCCACGTGCACTGATCTTTATTCAGGATCCACGGCACAGGAAACAGCCGTCGCATTTGCAACTCGCGCCCTCACTGACAAGCAATTTGCATAAACGCGACGTCACAGCTTGAGGTCATCTCTTGTCACATTCAAAATGGCTGCCATCGCCAGACGTTTCACGAGTGCATATGGGCTCCAGAAAGATTCAAGAATATCTCGGAAAATTGAACATCATTACACCTAAGCATCCCAGAAGTGATACATGTAGATAGGACATCATAGAATACAACCATATGTAAGAAACCGACCGTAATTTTTTTGAAAACTTCGTCCTCAGTAGTGCGCGGTACCACGGTGTGTGGCCAGAGGTTCAGCGCAGCATACCCCGGCCACACTAGTGGGGCTCAGCCTATAGTACGGCCAGACGCCCAATGCTCCCGATCCCCTAAACATGCTAAACGCTGAACTCTGATGTAGCAATTTTGCTACCGATTTTGATCGAGATTATCTTCTCATACGGGACAGAAATTTCCAAAGTTAAGGATCCTAGTCATAAAGGAACTCGTACCTTTTCGAAAAAACGTTCTTTTATCTAAAAATCTTCATCCATCTGACCAAAAAACTACTTTCAAACATCGTCTCCCACGAATATCGTCCCGAAAATGTTCCTCCGTGCGATTTCATAATGGCGGCCGCGTTGTAATGTATGCATTATGCGGGCGCACTTGGGCAAGATTATGAATGTGTATTTAAGTTCATGACTTTTTGCCAGGCCATACAAACACGAGGTCATGAACTAAATAATGCATATTCATAATCTTGCTCAAGGATCCTTAACTTTGGAAACTTCTGTCCCGGATGAGAAGATAATCTCGATCAAAATCGGTAGCAAAATCGCTACATCAGAGTTCAGCGTTTAGGGGAGCATTGGGCGTCTGGCCGTACGACAGAGCTTGCGATAGTACTGTACGGCCAGATGCATTCGGGCTATCATTCACGTAGCCCCACTTGTAATTGTATGGCCTCGGTATTGCTGTGCTGTACATTCAGCCACACGTCTGGTTTTCTAACCTACCGAGGAGTTTAGTCCAAACACTGGTTGACGCACCCTTTTTCGGCCCTTTTTTTCACATACCACTGTAGATGGTTGTATTCTATTCTATGATTTCTCATCTTTTGCCCTCCAGGTAGATTAGGTAATCTTTCTTCAAATTTTTCGAGAAATTTAGACATCTTTCTTGAGTCCATATAGGGCCTATCCCCTATGCCAGTTTCGGACTTAACTCCTCAGTAGGTTGGGAAACCAGACGTGTGGCCGAACGTACAGGCAGCAATACCGAGGCCATTCAATTACAAGTGGGGGAAAGATTTCCATATACGAAGTTCACTCAACACCCTGTGTACAAGCCCTATGAGATTGGACTGAAAAATTCTAAGTGTTTTCTAAGAAAATGCTTGTATTTTCTCACTGCTCAAATTGACTTTGATGACATGAAATTGCAATATGGGGGCTTGTAAGGCAATACAGAAGAAAATTAGTGAACTTCTTATATGGAAATCTTTCCACAAGTGGGGCTACGTGAATGACTGCTGATGAGGTGTGTGAATGGAATCTGGGTTGGGATTACCTTGAGTAACTCCAGCTTAACAAGCTCATCAGGAATTCACATGTGAATTCCTGATGAACTTGTTAAGCTGGAGTTTTACTCAAGCTAGGGTGGGATAATAGAGGTGAAAAAAGGACAATTTGGGGAGGTCATTCTGGAAGGGTCTCTTAAGACCACACTCTCACGCCCTGGTTATGTCTCCAGCGCTACATGTGAATGAATATGAGCATGTCAGCTGGAGTTACTCAAGCTACACACCGTCCTTAGTTTTAGACTAATTTCGCACAAATTTATTTATCATTCACGAGGCCAACGATTGACTTGAAACAGACCCCAAAAATATGAAATATGAGAAATATTGATGATTTCGTGGCTTGTCCATTGAATACGTCCCGTATCACTGCTGTCATCCATGATGTTTGGTTAATTTTGTGCACGATACAATCATATGGTGGCCCTGAAAGGACATCACACATCGAGTTTTCTGCGCAGATTTCTGCGACATCGCAGAAAAAAATGTGCGACATTAGATCTTAGATTTGCGGATCCATCAGTTACGGACTACTTTACTGTATGTGAATATTAAAGTGTGTACTGTTTCATTAAATATGCAAGCTTCTTACTAAGGTAAAGGTAAAGATCCCATAGCCATTACTGGCCGTAGGGGCAGTGGGATGTTAGAGGTCCACCGTGTCTTGGGCACGGCATATGAGTGGCGGGGCCCAGTCCTCTCCTCTCGCCGTCTTACCTTCCCTGAACGAATCAGGTACCCATTTTACTGTTGGGTCGTCAGAGAGAGTTTTCCAGTTTTTGGTCCGAATGGGATTCGAACCGCCAACCTTCCACTCTGTAGCTCCAAGCTCTAACCGCTCGGCTACGAGGCCCCTCTTACTACAGTTTCCTCAACGTTCCCTGAAAAGTTGTATAAGTTGCTGTTGTGAGCAGTGCATTCCCGGAAATTGAGCTTTTAATTCTAATTTTGCAGAGAGTTATCAAAATCCAAATGTGAGACATCACTACGGCTGACTTCTTATTTCTGGTGATTGTGAATGGGTGCTGTGGTCCACCAGGCTATCCGCCACTACGATTTGTGATCACAATGCACAGGCGACAAGCAGCATGTCTTCTGACAACCCTGAGTTCACTGAGGAAAGCAGTTCATGATGTAGCTCAAAGACACAGTTGCATGCGTTGGGTAAGAATTGTATCTGACAAAAATTAAGGAAAGAATGTTGCAACCTGACGCTGCTTTTTTCTTCATATATCATCTCAATGAAGGTCAGTCATTGCAAAAATGACGATAAGACATCAATCTGGGACTGAGAAACATTTCCAATTTTGTTAGGAAATGCTTAGAAAATGTTCTTGTCTCTCTATAGACTTTGTACACAACTGCCGAAGTAGCGTCAGGTTGCATTCTTACCAAATTGGGGCCTAGGGTAGGGGCCTACTAGTAAAAAATGTTACTTTGTTGATGTACACAGTCATATATTTATCCTGTTTATAGGCCTATCTAAAGTGAAGAGGGTAAACAATTTAAAGACGAAGAAAGAAATCAATCTCTTTTTCAACTTTCAAATAATGCACCTGGTCGGTTTTGCTGTGATGGTTTACCGAAGGTAAACAGTGCAATTATTGAAATAATTTATACTCATTCAAACTCTTACTTGGCCTTAGACATAAGTTAAGAAATTAGTGCATTGTGTTGCTACAGTTATCGTGGCTATACTATTTTTTTTCATACTAGATGCAGAATTCAGCAGTTGGTCAAGCTAACGTGATCACAGTTCCCAAGAGAATCAGTGAGAAGATAGACAGCCTACGTAAAAGCAGGGGTCCCATCAAATGGCGAGGCCGCGTTTTCAACGCCCGGCCGGGGAAAGAACTGATCTCGGCTAAGAGGAAAGAGTTCAACTACTACCAGAACCAGACCTATGATAAATTCAAGCCTCCCAAACTTGCAAGCGATGGCTGGAAGCACAAGCGCTCCTGCGGGGATCATTTTACCATCCTGGCCTTCCGAGGGGTGAGTGGGTGGCATTTGGCTCTGTGGCATCTGAGCATGTATACAAAGTGTACGAAACGGTTTGGTTAGATGCATGATAACAGCCTGTGCGCGTATTGAACATACAATGCACGCGCGTGCGCGAGACTTGACGCGCGCGCCCCACATGAAACCCAATCACGGGAGACTTGACTGAAATTTAACTGGGCAATTCCACGGTTACTCACGTTACATTTTTCATGTACTTTTGAGATCCCTTGGGCTGTAATTACCTTACTGAAAAGGTTCAATAACTGTTATCCCCATGGTAGATAGAGTAGACCTAGACCTACCTAAGCACCAAAGACGACATCCAGAAAAATGTGTTATGTATGATAAACAAGACGCACAAAATCGGTTACTCACGTTACGAAAATGTAACGTGAGTAACCGTGGAATTGCCCATCTGCAGTCGCGTGCCGAGTCTTGTCTCACGCTCGCGCATTTGTATGTTCTATACGCGCACAGGCCATTATCACACCTCTTACCAGAAATTTTGGAAGACATTTATCTTTGTGTAGAGGATCCGTGGAGCAACCAAGTACATGTACTCCTCCACTGTAGTGCTATAAATGGGGCGCATATACTAGGGCTGTGCATCGGAACCGGGGACCCGACTACCCAAATACCCGACCGCTCATGTCAGGAACTGGTTCCAGATTATGGGATCGGGTAACCGTAAGCAAATTATTACATACACTTGTAGTTACTTCTCAGCCCTTGCTCAATTACCTGGTGACTTACATGTACACAAGAAAATTACAAAGTTGTGCTTTCCTAGACATTTAGTTTCCAAGTATTTCCCCTCCATTCCCGCTACTAGTAAACACCAGACCTGTATTCACTGCTCAGTGGGACTTCCATCTGGTTATTTGTTCAGTTTCCTTCATTAATTTTTTTCCTCATCCATTAATTATGATTATTTCCATTCCAGAACCCATCCCTACAAGACAGAGGCGATTCTGCTGACAAACCCACAACTTTTACTAGTTTCGACCTGAATGAGAAGCTTCTGCTTGCCCTGGGTAACATGGATATTAAATCACCTACTAAAATACAGGTAAATCGCTAGCCCTACTTGGCTGAGGATCAGTGGTTGATATTTATATAATATTGGATGGCTTTGGGGGATACAAGAATATATTTGACTTGTGCAATATTGTTATTGTGTCTTAGCAAGTGCAATATATTCTTGTATCCCCCGGAAAAAAAAGCCATCCAATATTATTATCACCGCTATAGGGCCTACTTGATCAGTCACGGTTGATGGCATACAAAGCGGTGTGGCCGCGTAATTTATATTAGGCTGACTTTATCCTCAAGAAATAAATTTCAGGACACCTGTCTTTATTTCTCAAATTTCCTCAAATTATTCTTTGCTTTCCGAAGCTATATTTCGAAGCGGCCATTGTGGTTGTTGACAACAGTGCGTGTTCACCCTGCATCTGCGTGCGGGCATGACGATATCGCATGCTGTGCTCTATTGAACAGTTGACAACTTGGACTTTCTACACGATAGATTGTGCGGGAACCAGTGAAAATGCCTGGATGACTGCAATATAAAAATAATGTGGCCCTCATCCAGTTACCTTTTACTGACATAATGTTGCAGTCATCTGGGTACTTTTTACGAAAGCATACAATACGCTGATTTCTCTTTTACCACTAGAAGCCTGATATAAATAATAATATTACCAATTCCCTCTATAACTCTGTGGTTTTTTCATTGTATAATTTGTCAGAATCTTTGAATTATACAAGGATAAATATTTCTACATATTGTCAAGCAGTCTGACCTACATGGTTGTAGGTAGCCAGAACTAACACAAGCCTTATTGCACAAATGGAAACCAATAGCAGTTCTAAATATTTTCATCGTGGATATCCATATTCAATTATTCATCTTGATGGCAAACTGAGTAATAAATCGAAATGAAGAACTTGGTATGCTCTATCTAATGCATTTGGAAACTTATGAACCCTAACCCTGCCAGATGCAACGCAGTGCAACAGAGTAAAAGTCTGTGGGACCTTGCTGCATTGGGCCGTCAACACCGGTGCATAAACTGCTAGTTCTGAGACAGTGGGAGTACTGTCATATCGTGTTGCAGTTGGCAACCACAGACTGCGAGGCAGTTTTGCCAGAGGAATTTGTCTCATTTGATCTTGTTACAACTGGGCAGGCTCACTGATCTCTACATAAAGACTGGATAGCGGATATCCATACACCAGTCACACAGTAGACTTTGCATATTTACCAATTCACCCCCGGTCTCATGAAGATGGCCGCGTATTTCACGAACGTTCTACGCGTATAGCGCACGCTGTATCAGGAGTTGACGCGCATTTTGGTCACGTACACGTATTATGATGTTGTAAAAAGGACACATTTCCGAAGTGATTATTATTTCCAAAACACCGAAAACGTGAACTGCGGCATTAAAAAAAAGTAAACCACGACGTTAGAAAAATAGTAAACCTTGGTCAGTGGTGGTGGTCAAATATAAGTTGAGTGAACCGCGATGTTACAAAAGAAATCATGCTGTCTATAAAGACAGCAGCTTGTCCTTTGTAGATCACCAGCCGGTCTCACCGGTCTCACCAATATGGCGTCAAATTCATTCATTGTGCGGCTCTTTATCCGCTATCCAGTCTTTATATAGAGATCAATGGGTAGGCTTCTCACTTTGTCAAGAGATTTTTGTTTTTGTATTTTGAGAATTTTTTTTTTACTAAATTTCTCTGAGGGAAACATGATCTTAAGCCTCATTTTGTGGGATCTTGTCTCATTTAGTCAGCCGCTATCCCATCCATCCTGAAGGGCAGGAACGTCCTGTGTGCCGCAGAGACTGGGAGTGGCAAGACTCTCGCCTACCTCCTGCCCGTCCTACATATGTTGCTATGGGAGACAGCCACTCACGGCCGAGCTACCCAAGCGGGTCGGCCGAGGTGTTTGGTGCTGGTGCCAGGCTGGGAACTGGCTCAACAAATCAAGGTTTGGACTGTTTCTTCAATGTATTTCAATGCCTCTGTGACTTTACTTAAGGCCAGTCCATTCTTCACGCAGGCACACATTACAGTAAACTCCGGCTAAACCGACTTGTATAAACCGTCATATCGCTTAAATTGGCCGTCTGATGAAAGTCCCGATTGTCTCTAATGCATTTCCATTGACATTTTCATTTCTAAGTCGGCCTTTGTAAGCCGCCATTTTGTCGGCGTGTTACTTTCAGTCCCATTTCCTCAAAACCACAAAAATTCCTCTGTACAAGTCGGCATCGTGCTCTGCGGTTTGCAAGAAGTGTCGAGTGAAAAGTCCCACACACTGCCAACTGACATCTGTTTATCAATGGCACGGCCCGTGATTGATGCATCGGCCAGCACGTGCACACTAATCGCACGTGTACACTGTTTCATGCACAGTCTGTACATTGTGTGCATCGTTCGCTTACACGTGCGCGATCAAAAAGGGGTTTTCCTGATAGCACATCAATACCAGTACCCCCTCTCGACTGCACGCATGCGCTCTGATCACTTTGGGGGTCCCCTTATTGTACCAGAACCATGCACACATTTAATTCGTGACTGTACGTACGTGCACAATGTACACTACATGTACATGTACATGGACGTACAGTATGCAAGCGATCTGTATATCGTACCACTGTTGTTAACGCTAGCCGGCCGCGCCGTCCTTGCTTTGTACGTACGTACATGTACATGCATGACTTTACTGTGATCAATACCACAGCCTGTTTGTGATGATAAACATTGAAGATATATTTGCTGGAATCAACCATGGATGTAGAAATAAACCAGGGTAAATCAAAGCCTTTGAATTTTAGCCATGAATCTGGTTTACATGATCCAGATACAGATACGCATAGGCCATTAATTCAATCTATTTTTTTCACTCCGTGATTCAATTTGTGTATTTGTGTAAGTTGGCAAAATGACGACTTGCAGCAGAAGCCGACTTTGGCGTAAGTCGTCACAAATTCTCTGGTCCCGAGAGTGCCGTCTTAGCCGGAGTTTACTGTATGTGAAGCGAACTTGAATTATGTGAAGCGTCCCTGTTTGCCTCGGGTACGAAGTTGCCCATAGACAATTCATGCCGATGATCCATGTGCAGTTTACTAGAAATTTGAGTTATGATGATGGTTATTATGCCAGTTTGTCTTCAGGACAACCTAATAGACTGAAGCTGCCTTTCCGTATTCACATTTTCAGTTCCTTTTGTGTCCATTGCTTCTTAAGCCCTATTCTAATAGGTAGGACTAACCGAGCAACAGACACAAAGTTGACCGATTGGTGGCTTTATAATGATCCTTTTGGAAAGAAAAGGAGTGTCTTTTTCTTACAGTAACGCTCCAAACACCTTCTCTAAGCTACATTCAATGCAAAAAGACTGACATCTACAATATTTATAATTTCTTATTTTTCTTAGTAAGTTGTTTTTATTAATTGTAGTTTGTTGCAGCATCATTGTTGAAAGAGACAAGTTTGGTGGCCAGATATCTCGACGGTAGCAAATCTCCCAAGTCCCTCCGCCATACCTTTCTCACCCCAGCAGATGTCGTCATAAGCACGCCTGGTCCTGTCCTGAATTGCCTCAGACAAAGTGAGCAGAACATTTTTATTGCAGTCTTTTTGCATTACTACGAGCCCATTCTGATGTTTTATTTGAACAGCGTCTGCAGTGACAGAAAATAGAAATTCACACCCGAAGTTTTTTGTCAAATTTCATACTTTTTTCTGTATTTTCCTTCTGCAGAATTTATGACTTTGGAAAGTGCAACCCACATAGTGGTTGATGAATGTGATACCATGTTGGACGACAGTTTCTGCAATACTTTGCTCAACATTCTGCAGAGAATGCATGTGAGTTGCTGGATTCGTGCACAGCTTTTTCTTTCCAAACGTTTTTAGAAATTGTCACTGTATTGTAGATTCTTTAAAACCCTAACTCCATAGGCTTTTTACTACGATGTAGCCTCAATCCTGCAAAATCCTCCATTATCTTTTGAATATGGTCCATGGAGGAGTGACCACTGCCTGAATCCTGCAAAATCCTGTGGCAGTGACTGTCAATATGTTGAGGCTTGGCCAGTGACATTCTGGAGCAGTACAGAGGATTTCAAGCATAATCCAGGCCTATATTTATACATGGCTGAGCAAAAACAGCACAAGGTCCGGCCCAAGACCTTGACAAAGTGCATCCTACGAAATCAGTAACGCACTTTTGCCATTTTAACTGAATCCTCCAAATTCAACCACTTTGGCAAAGAGGATTTTGAAGGATTCAGGGTGGATAGTATTATAGTTGCACACTTTATGGATGTTTGTGTAAATCAGAAAGGACTGCAAGGTTGGCAACACTGAGATCTCAAAATTCAATATTCATCACAAGTGTTGAGCCAGTCCATTAGTTTAACTTTCAGAGGTTTGGAAATTTATCTTTGTAACCATTACTGTCTTTGCTACCACAAATGTCAAACATTATCCTTTGACAGCAAAATGTCATTTTTATAAAACCTAACTTTCAATTGACCAATTTCCTAGATAAGCACCAGATCCCAGTCACAGACGAAACCATTTGAGGAGACCCAGCTGATCCTCGCTGGTGCCACCATGCCAAAACAAGCAGCTGAAACTCTCAAGGACATCCTGCCTGTGAGTATCTGGGAATAAAGCTCTTTCACACTACCCATAAGGGGCGTAGCAAACTGGGGGGTGTGGGGGGGGGGGGGGAGGTTTCACCCTCCCCCCCCCCATTAATTGCCCTCAGTCGGCATGTAGGGCCTCAGTTGGCATTTAGGGCCTCAGTCGGCATTTAGGGCCCCCAAATTAAACACAGAAGATGGCTTTAAGAGCAAAACACTTCTTAGTAATCGTTTATTGAGTTGTACATTGACCCAAGTTGATACTAAGTTCTGGTAGACTTGAGAATTATTAGTGACCATTCAGGTCACCGAGTTTAAAGTTGCCACAGAACAGTAATAAATCGTCTGCTCACAGTTGACCCGCGTTAATTTTAAACTAAGGCGAACGTGTGAAAAGGGCCTTAAATTAGGAGTGTACTTGGGACAGCGTACACTCGCATACTTGTGTGCATGTTAAACTTAAGCCTTCCATGCAATGTCTAGAACTTTAGGAAAGGCACATGCAAATTCTTGCTGATTTAAGATACACTTGATGCTTGCAGTAATGGTGTAAAGCATCACGAAAATGAGGGAAATGGGGAAACAGTTCATGACACTCTTTGCTTTTGTCAACTTTCCATGCAACCCACGTTTGTGGAATTTGTGCTGGTGTGTTGGGAGCAAATGCGTAAGTACTCTAGCATTTCTGAGCATAAACTGATGTGAATTTGGAGACAAAACTAGTCTACATATACTTTGTACAGACAAAAGTTTAACATCCTCCCCCTTGTTCCCATTACATTTCATTTCATTTATTTTTTTCATCTGAGTGGAGCTTTGCAGTTGAAATATGTGACATAAACTTGGTATGCTCTTCTTCAGGAGAAAGCATTGGAGATCGTAGCCACCACACACTTGCATCGGATCATGCCACATGTCAGCCAAAAGTTTCTACGTTTACACTCCCAGGACAAAGCTGGTAATGATGAAGCTAAAAATTGTAGTAACCTTCACGTTGTTATTGTTTTTCAAAGTCAAACTATCATGAATACCTATCAGTCGGGTCCACTAGTCTTTTTCCTGACCTGATGATCACCTCGATAAAAGGTTAATATGTAACTGTCACAGAATAGATCATGACTCAGCAATGCCCTGCCCTAGTCTGACTGCATACTGAATCACAGATACTGGCATTACACCTGACAATTAAAAACTCTCAATTTTCAGGACTAATAACAAGTATGACAGGTATTTTATTAAGGGACTAAATGTGTGTTCCGGAGGTATTATAACACACTGTTTAAAACCAGTGTGAGTCTGGATGGGTAATTATCACCCATCCAGACTCCCACCGGTCTTAAACAGAGTGTTTAATACCGATGGAACACATGTTTATTCCCATTCATAAATACCTTTTTGGTCAAAATACCAAATCTTTTCGGTCCAAAAATCAAAACAAGTCAAAAACTAGACGTTGTTAACCATTTTGTTCAACAATTTTACTTCATGTTTTACGAAACACCCCTCTGACTATAATATGGAATGCCCCTCCACAATTGCGTGCGCTTCACGTATTCCACCTCCATGGTCCCACGTACTGCGCGATGTCGCGCAAAAGGCAGCTGGGCTGTTGTAGTGAGAATTTCGGACCATGAAATACTGATTCACTTGTAGTACATTGCGCATGCATACGCGAGGAATGTGAACGTTCAACCAATGAAACGTTAAAAGGCACCGGATTTCATGGGAGTCCAAATTTCATGTGACACTGGAAAAGTGTTTAAGACCAGCCAGCCATGTCTTAATCATCCGTTTAAGACTGGCCACGTGACAGGCTCTCGACCAATTAGAATGCGTAAACTGTCTTAGGTATTTATGAATGTTAAATAAAACCATTTTACTCTTGGAAATAGTGGAGCTATTGAAAAATTGATTTCGGAGAACCCCAGACGTTTTTAGAAACATGCAGGTTCCTGCCTGATTTCGTCAAGTGACGGTGGCACCCACATGACCAAAGATTTTTGGAATGGTCAAAATCTTTTGGTCTGGGAACCAGACTTCGCAGTCCACAAAAACTGCTTGTTTCAATAACATTGAATCCTATGGCACAGGCTTCCACATTAAAACATTTGAAGGCTCCTTGACATGATTTGTTAACACTGACACATTTTGTGCAACTATCCATTCCTCTGAACTGTATGAAAATAATAAGACACCACGTGTCGGATTTCAAGCGCACCTTTTCAACAGAAGATATGTTCTATGGTGTTCCTAACAACTGAGGAAATTGTTGCTGTGATGTCACATGAGGTACACTTTGATAAAACAGCTGTGCTTAGAGTCGTGTTCTATTCGTCAACAATAAAACACCAAAAGTGGAGAACTGACCATGGCAGGACCACCAAAATTCTGGCAGCTCTTGGTACTGAAGCAGCTGGTAACACAGAAGCCAATGTGTTAGATATAATATTACGATTTTGCTCATGAATTTGAAATTTCCATTCACATAAAAACCAAAGAAAGGTATAGAGATACCTCTAATATGGCACTATGAAGATTGAAAATAAAGCATAGTTTAACCCTAACCCCCTAGTAGTTCCTCAGAAGTACCCTGCTAAATCCAACAAAGTCCAACCGCAGTTTCCTGTTCAATCCACTGTGCCTTATTTTCAGTTGTCTGCTGAATCCTACAGAGTTCAACTTGGCATTATAATGTGGTTCAGTTGCCTGCTGAATCCAACATTTTGCATCAGGAATGAACACAAGGGGTTTACTGCTCAATCCAACAGTCTCCATCGGGTATGTGACATAGTTGGATCCTGTTGGATGCATTTCAAGGAATAGGATTGCATAAAGCATGGGCCCTAAAGTCATTTCACTTTCTTTCCAAGACAAGAAATCAATGTTACCAAAATGTTATAAGTTAAGAATGCTTTTGTTGCTCTGATGCAATGAAATGTGAAATGAGGAAAGAAAAAGAATCCAAAGGTATCCTCTGCCCAGATCCACAAGAAAGATCTTGAAATTGTCCAAAGGGCAAAACAAAAAGGAGTTTCATTTAATGTCTCAAAGTCATCTAAGTGCGGAGATAGCTATTTGGAACCCTTAAAGTTTTGCACATTCTACATAATATGCTTGTTTTCTCTCATTCATTGCTTTCAGCCAAAATCCTCGAAATTGTGACTAAAGATTCCAGGCAGAGCATTCCTGTCATGATGTTTTGCAATGAAGTGTCCACGTGTAACTGGCTAGCTCTGTTTCTCGAGGAGAGTAACATCAGCGTACTGAGGTTAAATGGAGACATGGACCCAGAGGTAAATAACTATAGGCTCCTTGCACTTACGGTAGATGGCGCTTTTTTACCACTTCTGGAGCCCGTTGGACAGGGCACACCACTTGCGCGTACTGGTCCATGCGCATATGGCGCAAAGTACGCACGACTAAGTTTATTGACTTTATTCTGAATGTGCACAAAGCCATGGCATCTTCACATGAGCATTAAGTGGTGTCTTCAAACATTCCAAAGTTCATCCCAATGGCCGCCCCCATCGCTCTCCATTATGTAGACTGGATATTGGATTGGTTGCAACCCCCCACCTCCTTCCAGCTGCTGAATAATGTTATAATAAATAAATAATAATTATATAGTCCTTTCCATTGTATGAACAATGTCAAAGCGCTGCACAATTATTACCCCGTTCATCAGGCCATGGGACCACGTGGCAGCCAATATCAGCGCTCAATAGGTCCTCGACCATTGCTGGTACCCATTTATACTCCTGGGTGAAGAGAGGCAATTATAGTAAAGTGTCTTGCCCAAGGGCACAAACACTATGTTCCTGGCTGGTTTCGAACCCACGCTCCTTCGTACATGAGTCAAACACCGTAACCACTGGACCATGTCATTACGATGCTACATTGTACTACATCGGCTTAGGTTATCTTTGAGGCGCTCTCTTCCTCGCTTAAATTCAGCTATCCACCTTTTAACCATTGCAAAGGACGGGGCATTATCTTTCAAGGTTGACACCATGTCCTTATGGAAAGCCATTAGAGTTAGCCATTTCAACTGCAGGTATTTGATGGTATCACAGCAGCTGATTTTGTCCATTTTTGTCAACATTATCTACCTACTCACTTTGTGAGTCCCTCTCGTAATTACCACCAATTAGTCCGTATTTCATAAAACCTAAATTCACGCTACACTGGCATTAGCTGGGGAGTAACCTGTGATGGACCAGCATCCCATCCGGGGGGAATAGAAATATTCTCAGTTGTTTCATGCTACTCGGAGATGAAACTTTTCCGATTTTAATCGGAAATCTGACTTTTTGAACTTTCTAAAGAAATATCCAATTTTCTTACGATGTGTCCCACAAAATATTATTTTGTAACGATTTTTTCACAAAATGTAATTTTATTTCAATCATAATTTCGAAGAAAAGTCGATGAAAAGTCGATGGAAATGGCACGTTAAAAAAAAATCGTCGCGAACGTAGTTTTAATCTCTTTCACCAGTCGTTATTGGAGTGTTTCCTTGTTGATGACTCCATTACTGTAACCGAAATTCAGGCGTTTTATGCAATGAAAACACTGACCTTTTTTTTTCATCATAAAATTTTGTTTGAATCGAAAATAAAGCAGGAGTTGGTTTCTGGAAATTGGGCATGAAGTGTATTGTACATGCATGTACATGTGTGTAATTGCAGCGCGGCCCACATTTCGGACACATATTTTTGTTTGGCCTTTTTTCCGATTTTTTTGCCATATGCCAGTTTCATCTCTGGTTACTGAACCGGAGATAAACACCGGCCTGATGGGCCACATTGGCCCGTGACAGACTTTACTCTGGAATCAACGTTGGTTTGGAAGTATGAACAGAATTTAATTCTTTCCTTTTTTGTTTTTCTAAGAAACGCAAAGGAGTAATGCGATCGTTTCAGAAGGGAGTCAGCAATGTATTAGTATCCACAGACATCGGCTCAAGGGGGATGGACACAATTCAGGTAAAGACAATTTTATTTTATTAGTTGATATTTTTGGTCAACAAATATTCTTTTGAATTCAAAGGATATATGCACAGCCTGTAAGATATCACTTTAGCACGCACGGCTGTAACCAACTTTAAAGTAAATAACACCATCAGAATAATTCAGAATGTTTTTGTACATATAAACTGGTTTAAAATCCCAATCCCCAAAACCTATTATGTTCAAGCATACAATTTTTCATATATCAATAGGATTTCCAATTCTCCTTTCATTTCCTATTGTTTCCTCCATTTTCAGCAAACATTATACTTTTAGGGTTGTGCAGGACAGTTTTTCCTATGTTTTCATGTAATGAGGGTCAGATGTCATGTTTTAATTTAAGAAAATCTTATTTACGTTTACTATCGGCATAAGGTGCGGCATGTAGTGAATTTTGACTTCCCACGCTTCATGTCGGACTACATACATCGAGTTGGGCGGGTGGGACGAGTTGGCGGTAGTAGCGGTGATCACGTGACCAGCTTTGTGGTGCACAAGTGGGATGTGGACCTGGTGCGAAAGATTGAGGTAGTTTTTTGTTTACTGTTTCTACTCTCATTTTTGAATGTGTTTGTTTTGTTATTCAAACAAAGTCCATTTTTAATGGGCCCTGAAATGTAATTTCTTTTAATGCAAGCCTTGAAAATGCACCTTTGTGGCCCTTTAACCTTATTTTCAATTTACCTTTTGCCATTTTCAAGGGTATTTTGGTGCCTTTTTGGTTTTTATGCTAATGAAAATTTCATTCATGAGCAAAATATTCATGAGCAAAAGTGTGATGTCGTATCGGGCAGAAACCTCAATGTTGCAATTGATTTATTTACAAAAAGTTAACACAATTTTGGATATTTTGCTGTCGTAAACTTTCTTTTCATTAGTGTTAGTTCATGGCAGTAAGCCAATGAGCAAACTTTTCTCAAATGTTTTCAGTGAGCAACTTTTGGAGTTCACTGTTCCAACAGAAAAACACCTAATATGAACAGTGTCTCCCTGAAACGACATCACGACAACAGCGCCCTCAGTTGTCTGGAAAAGCATGGAAAATTGTTAAATGTTTAAAGAAGTGCACTTCTCAACAAAATTATCCAAAAAGGAATATCAATTTAGTTTTCATACACTTAAGAGGATTAGAAAGTAGCACAAAATATGTTCTTACAAAATATTCAATTCATGAGCCCTTTAACATAGAGAATGAGTTTACTCCCTAGGGGTGGAAAGGCTAAAAGGAGAGCTAACGGAACACACCCAAAATACAACACATAAAAACAGAACAAACCAATTGTTAGCCTTTTTAATCAGATCCTGTCTTTTCGTATTCCAGAGAGCTGTGAGAGTCCGGGATGCCCTGCCAAAAGTGAATGCCAACATCAAGAACAAGCTGGTACAGAGACTAGTAGAGCAAGATGACAGTGGCATCTTCCTCTGATAAACTAAACATCCAATAAACTCTTCATTGTTTGCGTCTGACTTCCAAACCTGTGAGATGATGCTGTCAACAAGTTCTGGAATGATGTGAAATCGGCCTCAGTGCAGCAGTGATTGGAAGTTGCTAGGATTGTGATTGAATGAATGACCGTAGAAGTGGACCCTATTTCTCAATGCTGGTACATCATAAATATCGTCTTAACTCAATATTTGGAGATCTAACTTTGATTTGAGCAAAGACTTTTGCTTAATAATTAAAAAAAGGGATCTAGACTACATACGATGTAACCTGAGCAGCATCATAATTGGGTTTAGCATGATAGGTGTGTTTTGCGATTTAATATTTTGTCAATATTTGTGTATTATGTCCACAAAAATTAGGTATTTTTCAGTGCATTGGCACGGAAATAAAGCATTTAGTTTGTATTGAAATTATTAGGAAAAGCATACATCCAAGCGTCCATTTCAAAAGACTTTTGCTGTTGTGTATCTGTTCTACAACCTTAAACTTGCCAAAACAAAAGTGGCTAAACGTTTGCAAAAACACCTACTAATAAATCAATAACCATCCCGAAAGTATAGAATATGTGTGAATTCTTACTCTTAAAATATTTTCTCCAAAAAGTTTACCATATCTGCATTTTGCAAAAGCTCTGTGTTTTATTTTTTTTAATCTGTGAATATATAATTCTCAGTGAATATGTACTTTTTGTTCATGTGTAAATTATTGTGCATGTTTCTGTTTAATTTTACCCTAGCGCAAAATTGGGATTTTTAAAATGTTCCCAGTATTTTTGTGGGCAACTTAGGAAGTTTGATGCCAGTGGTCAGGTGGTTTGGTGTGCCAATGGGGGATCTACTGGGGTGGGGTAAGGCGGTCTAACCTCCCCTTAGCACGCAACAAAATAATAAGAAAACATAGCACATGCCTGATACCCATCTTCCTTTGAACGCTATATTTAGATATGCCTAAGCGAATAACTTTTAGAATAAGAATAAGTGATATTTTCTTGATTATTCTCTTGTACTATACACGTCCCTATTCCTCGGCGCTCCCCGCTGTGCCAAAAAAAAAAAATTCCCCCAAGCCAGATCATTTAGGGTCACTTGCTTTCGCCAAAGCCACATATTTTTTTTGCAGCACCTGGATTCAAAAGCTTGTGACGCCATTGCTCGTGGATATCTTTAAATATCTTCGACTTGGCTCTATTAACTATTAAATACTTCGACTTGGCTCCTCCCGCTCCCGTTGGAGCAGCGGGCGACGAGACCCTCCGGGCGTCCCTCCAGTTGACGCCCATTGCTCCATTCGTTCAAAGTATATCACCATTTAAACACAATGACCCTAAAACGTCTTTCTTCCAAAAATGCGATTTCAAGAACCGTCGTCAGATTCACATTTGTCTTCAAACATCACCAACAATAAAACCTCAGTTTTAAAACTTAAAAATATTCAACAAAGTCCTTTTGAAGGCCCGTCTTTAAAAAAAAAAGGGGGGGGGGGGGGATTTTATAAGTCATATTGTTTGCCTAAGCAACTAGGGTTGTTAATGTACTACAGTTGTTGAAACAAGTACTCTGTGTCATTTTCTTTGTTGTTCCAAACAGTCAGAACACACAGTATATTGCTTTTTGGGGGACGAAACAGGTGTTAGGGTCGTTGCATTTAAATGGTGATATTCTTTGAACGGATTGAGCAATTTCAGTATTTTTTTATCTAAAAGTAGTTTATGAAGTTGACTTTCCAGTCATTATCTTTTTTGGTGCTACATATTTTTTTAATGAAATATATATTTTGGGGGTATGGGTTTCCGCTGTTTTTGACTCACCCTGCAGTTTCGTGAAAATAAAACATTTAAATTGAAAATCATTTGGAGATGAACAAGTGTTGATAAGATGTCATGTATTAAGAGTAAATTTCATTTTGATTTAGCGCGGGTAGCCCTAGGTGGCGCGCCACACATCACTGCATGCACGTACATATGTACTACAGCATCACCGGTATGCGGAAGTCAGCTGTTAATGTTGTGACGTCAGCACGTTCCATCAATTTCCGCTGTTTTTATTATCACAGATTGAGTGAGGAAAGAAAAAGCAATTTTGTCACGTATTCTCCGCAGTTATTGGTGTTTTCTATCGCAACCTTGAAACCAAAATTAAAGGTGAGTATGTAGGTAATTTTGGGGTTATATTTCTCTCAATATTGCATGAATTTCGAATGAGATTTGAGACCTTTCTTTTTATGCCGGTAGGCAGTATAAATGCACGTTACTCTTGGCTGGCCTGAACAAATAATGATTTTTTTTTACGTACAATGTAGGCCTTGTGGCTATCGTTACGGCAGCCGTAACGTGATTTTCAACTGCTATCGTTACAGCATTGCAAAAATACCATTGTGAATCTATATTTTGTAACTGCCCTTCCAACCATCCATCACGACCATCATGACAATCAATTTGGTCCATTTGTTTAACGTTCAGACGTTGAATGCCAAAGGTCCTGGCATCGATTCCGTACTTGGCTTGGGAATTTTTTTTTAAAAAGTAAATAATGTTACAGGCCCTTTTACTATAAAGTCTAAGAACCATTCCGTGGATAGTCTGGTTCCCAAGAGTCAAAGATCCTGACGTTACTGTTTCTGGTCAGGGAATCGACGGGCGAGACGGTCGACTGCCGTAACAACGGCCACTGCGATGATTTTAACCAGTTCACGTCGGATGACGTGTATACACGCTAAGGTTTTGCAGTAATCGGAACGGATGACGGATAAACACGCAACGAGCAAGGCCAGAAATATCTGTCTGCGACCCGCTCGCGGCGAGCGAGGCTGGAAATATCAGGGTGTGCTACCCGCAGATGACGGCCTGAACCCGTCTGTCATCGAGGTTCGTGAAAACAATACTGCGCCTGGGTCTGGTCAATGTCAAAATAATCCAAGCGCGAACTGGTTAATGCACTTCCTTATGCTGATTGACTAGCTGAATAGGCTCCGTGCGCCGACCAAGAGGGCGCCCCTTTACCTAGCAACAACGTAACATGGGCGGGACATTTCGCTGGTTGACGCGCACCGTTCCTTGTGTGTGATGCACGTACACCAGGGGATTTGTACTATGTACACGCAGTGGCCGCGCTTCGCGGTAAATGAATTGCAGTCAGGCAGGGCCAAGTTCGGGCAAGGACCATTAGTCGACGAGTGGTTGATTTGTGACGTACCTTACGCCTGCGCACTAATAGCAAAGTGCGAACGTCTCTAGTCGAACGCTGGTCAAAATGTCATTGCAAAACGTCTGGATCCTGGCTCCCTGCTGTACGTTATGAACGCGCGCGGCTATGGTTACAGCGAAGCAACCAACCCCAGTAGGTTGGTTCCAAATAGTCGACTAGCGTAGTTAACCATCGTCGACTAGACAGAGTTCGGGCAAGCGTTAGTCGACCAATGGTTAACTATAGTCCTTGCGCGAACTTGCCCCAAGATGGCAGTTTGGTCACCCCCAACTGTACTTTCTTTGCCGGTGAGGGGGTACTTGTGAACGGAGCGGATAGTATCAATGTTTTCATTATGTAAACAGTGATTGTTGGTCATTACAAGCAGGGAAAAAGGATTTGACATTGACGAGTACAATGTGTGTCTATGGCAGATCCAGAGAGGTTAGTGCCGGGGGGGGGGGGGGGGGTGTGAGGCTGTGCCGGGGGACAGAAGGGCTCTCACAAGTGAAAAATGGCCTTATTTTAGACAATTTCTGTCACTGGCAGGGGGGGGGGGGACACCCCCTCCGCACCCCCTAACAAATCCCCCCCCCCCCAAAAAAAAAAAAAAAAAAACTATAAAAAAATCGTAGGGCATTGTAAAAGTATTTGTCAAAAACATTAACCCATCACTCCTTTTGTCAATGTCGTCAATCCTTTGGCAAATTTCTTTCCAATAATATATTTTTTGCAAAACAGACACTTTATAGAACATCATATGAAGGTGTTGGCAAATAATACTTTTATTAACCCTTTTGAAACTGTCGCATTAGATTTTCTGACTACATGTATATTAAATTTACTGTGCTACTGAAAATAGAAAAGTGCAGTGCAATTTACAGCATGTATGTAGACCATTTGCATATCAGTAACCCAGTGCACACTGTGTTAGGACATTGACACAGTGTTAAGCATTCACACAATGCATGCTGAACAGGTGTAAGTGTACAGGTACATAATGAAGCCCTTTCAGTGTTGTATTTGGATATAATGGAAGGCCACTATTCTGTGGTCCTTCAGCTGTGATGTGTTCAAGTCCAGCTTCTATCACTTGCTGTATGCAGACAGTACACAAAGTCCCTTTGTTTGCTAAAGTGCATGTTCATTGTGAAGTACAATGTAGAAAGACCCATACTGGTATTTATTGTTCAACTTGCACCTGGAGCTTCATTGAAGCAAACTCCCATAAATTATTCTTTGTTTCTAATGATTTATTTCCCCTTGAAAATAAAAAAAGTGGTGGGTTTTCCTTGCAAAATGAAATAGATTGTCTTCTCTATAATTATCAGTATGTAGGATAGATGGTTGTTCTTTCTGTTGTTTATAAATGTTAGAAAATCTGTGAAAAAAGGTTGATATTATTTTGTGAAAACGTGTCAAAATATTTTCTTTTTTGGTGTAAGAAATACATGTACTGTTTAATGATCTTCCTTCAATGAAGAAACAAAAGTTACATTTTATCTTATTTCCCCTCAATAACTCCTAACCCCACTCCACCTAACCGTACCCCTGCCCCACCCCACCCAAACCCACCCAAACCCACCCAAACCCACGCACACTACCCTAACCCACCCCACTGTAGCCCAACCCAACCCAGTCCACACCTTGCCACGTCTCATGAAAATGTAATGTTTAGTATTATTAGAAGACCGACCTACCTCCATGCTCAATCCAACTCATCCACTCCAATCCCAATCCAACCCCAATCCACCCATCTGCACCCATCCGCACCCACCCTATTCCCAAGCCACCCCACCCCACCCCACTCGAAACTTGTCTCACCAATCCAATTCCAATCGACCCCACCCCAGGCTGGCCATTTCTACCGGTACCTCCATGACCCACCCAACCATTCTGTAATCTATCCCAACCCAACCTAACTCAACAAACGGAGAAAGAAACACAACCTGCATTATTAATTTAAAGCTCATGGTTTAATTTCTCAGTCACAAATAACAAGGCAGATTATTCATCCCTCACCCTCCCAGCGACTTGCCAGCAATTCCTGTAACACTTCAAAAGCCCCTCCTGTATTACATTGCATAATTGATTGCAGTACGCACCCCTTATTACTTATTCTGTATTCATGTCACATATGCAGGTATACTGCGTGATCAGCTGTTGAGAGGAACTCATTCATTCGTGTGGTAAACAAGCTACATCTACCCATTGAGTACACACGTCTGCTCTTCACTGCCTGTAGCTAGCTGCCACTACACATAAATTCAGACTTAGATCATTACAGCATCAACTCAAAGGACTGTGCTGAACTGGTCAACTCAATTCACACATAACAGGTATGATTCCTAAAAAGTAATAGAGTAGAAAAAGAAACAGTTGATTTGCATGTTGTACGCCTGCAAGGCTAATTCTGAACAATATTGATTGCATGCATTGTCTGGTATAGTAATGCAGATCTAGAAGGCTAATACATACATACATGTACATGTATGTAAGGCACTGTTTATGTGCAGTGCTCCTGTGTACCACTCAATGAAGCACAAAGGAAAATAGTGTAACTAAATGTATACGAATAGCAAAAACCATCTTGTTGCTGGTGCATTTCTCGTTTTAGTAGGGCTGTTAGGAACGATGTGGAACATGAGAATTTTATTTTCATTTGCATGAGAACATTAGCACAAAAAGCATGGCATAATTTTCTTGTATAGCTTAGACCTTTTTAACACCAAAAACATAATACTGCCTATCCAGATGGACCTTATGGCAAATTATTTCCTTAAGTTTTATTCCTTCAAAATGATTTCTAGGCGTCACCATGGACCCTGTGCATAAACGCTAGATGGCGTTGGTGAGAGCTCCATGCATGTGCAGACACACTGCTTGCTCACCATGCCATATGACACAGAGTATGCAAACATAACTTCATCTTTGTGTAAATTTGCACTAAAGTATGGCATATATTTGTGCGAGTGCCTGGCATAGGCGGCAATGCCTCCAAGAATTCCAGCTGACTCTCTCTTTCTCTTTGTAACCGTTGACGGTGTACTTGTGAACGGAGTCCCGGGCTAATGCGTTCAAGACTCAAAGAGTCTAGTGACAGAGCTATGGCTACGGCTATCGAAAATAGCTTTAGACAGGAGATTTGGATGCGGCTAGCTTGAAAAAGAAACGTATGGTTCTGAAAAGAACCAGAAGTTAATATAGCTTCTTCTTATCATGACCACACTTCTCTATTAAGGGCAGTCTCCTTACAGGGTTGCATTCTGTGAACTTGTCCCCTAGCAATTTATGCTAACGTTGTTTTGTTCAGAGTACCACAAAGCATTGATTCTTTGATATTTGTCCTTCACTAGATTGCTTGCTGAAGCATCACAGACGAGCAACATGGGCAGAATATTCTTAGAGCACATCGGCGGCACCCGGTTGTTCTCCTGCGCCAACTGCGACACGGTCCTGACCAATCGGATCGAGCTCATGTCCACGCGCTTCACCGGCTCCACGGGGCGCGCTTTCCTCTTCAAGAAGGTCGTCAACTTGTCCTTCAGCGAGGTACAGGACCGCGTCATGCTGACGGGCCGGCACATTGTCCGCGACGTCTTCTGCAAGAACTGCGATTCCAAGCTGGGCTGGATCTACGAGTTTGCCACTGAGGAGAGCCAGCGCTATAAGGAAGGCAAGGTTATCCTGGAACGGGCGCTGATCACCGAGAGCGAGGGCATCGAGGAGCATCTCGGCGAGGTATGAGGAGACCTGTCGGTCCACTGGGTGCAATCTGAGGTTTTTGGAAAGCCGAGACAGGGTTGGATGTGCATGTTTACCCACCATGCTTGCCCTTGAGCACTGTCGTGGAAAGACAGGCTCCATGTCATGATCAGAGGGTATCCGGGAACAAAATGGCTGTTGTCTGTACTATCGTGGAGGTACTGGAACACTCGCAGATATTTTGTGATCAGCCAAGATGATCACTGACTGAGAAGAATTGACTTGACCGAGGTCGAGTTGGGACATTTGAGGGGCTGGACAAAATTGTGGGTGCACAGAATTATGTACATTTAAAACATTGTTGTGTGATGTTTCAGGGTCATGCATTGTCACTCAAAAATATATGTTCTGCCTGGGAGCATTTGAATTACCCCTTGGAAATATTTGCCGTTGAGATTTTGGAAGATATTTTATATTTTAGGTGTAAAATTTAATATTTTAGGTGTGATTAACTGTCTACTGATTGAAATGACCTCTCTACAAACTGTTAGTCGAACTAAATAATGAAAGGTTCGCGGAAACACCATGTGCGAATAATTTCTCAACTTAGTCGAACGTTTTGCCTTTTAAAATAATATGCTGTTGATTGGGTTTTAAACCATTAATTTTTTAATGACTTTTTAATCTTTTTTGTGTTTGTATACAGTTACACGGCAATATTTTTTTTGCAGGAAATGCAGTTTGTCAGTATGTTCTGCAAACAGTTAAGTACCATTCCAGTGAAAATTGGTGACCAGTTTAATGGCACTGCTAATTTGTGCTGACTGAGATACCATTCACTTCACGGCCACCATAGCATTAAGTGCACAATTACTAAAGAGGCAGACTTTACATAAGGCCAAAAAAAAAAAGTCTCCGGTTTCTGGTATGCGCGCGCGTCGTCGTAGCCATGCGCGTTGGCAAAATGAGAAAGTCTTTTTTTTTTCAATAAAAGATGATGTCTCAAAACAACCAAACTCACTGGTTTGACTGGAATCCTGCTGCTGCACAATTTTAACGTGTTTTTAGATGGGGTTATGATCGAGAATAAGCTTTATGTGGCTTCTCTGGACTCCCATAGATTTGCACTAAGTTTAGTTGGGTACCATTTGCAGTCATCAGCCGACCTTTGAAGCAAAAAAAAACAGGTGAAAAAAAAAAGCCACGTCGCGGCACCACTTTTTGGGCAAGCTTCATACCAGAAACCGGAGACTTTTTTTTGGCCTAAAGTAGTTGAGAAACAGTACAAAAAATTCCCCATGTCAGTATTAAGCATTTAACATAAAGCATACATGTACATCACAAAATATGCTGAAGGTAATAAGCACACCTTTTATGCTTTACAGCGAACTTTGGACATTTTATGTGACGTTATGGTAAAGCAAGTATGTAACTCTTCATTTTATGTATTTTACTTTGTATTTGTCATTGATGGTGCTTCATGTTGTACAACTTATGATATTAACAGGTGGTGTGGATTTTGTTTTGTAAATGCTGCTCCTGCCATTCCCCAACTTGATTCACCAAAATTAATTTATGGGTTGATTGCTGAATCAGTGCATTTTATGCTGTTTCAGGTTGGCATCCGTTAATTGTTGGCACACAAGGTAAATTAAGAAACCATAGTACTTTATCTTGATTACAGTGAAACGCCACTTTAAGGAACATGATGGGGTCCACAGAAAGTGTTTGCTATAGTAATTGTTCGTTATAGTATTTGTGCATTTTATAGAATTCACTAATTTGGGAGCCCGTGGGGACGTTCTTTATTATACAAATAATGAATGTTTGTGAGTACAATGGTAAGAATAATTTCATGAGGTGACAGATGAAATGTTCCATTCCACGAGGCGTAGCCGAGTGGAATGGAACATTTCATCTGTCACTGAATGAATTATTCTTTCCATTGCACGAACGTGAAACATTCATTATTTGTTTTATATAACACCTGAATAAATCCTTGTCATCTGATTGGTTGACTTTTAATAGCCAGATTATCCATGTTAAAAACTGTTTAAAAGTTCGACAAGTTCATCATATTTATATGAATGCAAACTGTTTAACAGGTTGAGAACAACCAGCAGCAGTGACACCGTGCAATGGAACTTCTATTCACCGTGCAATAGAACTTCCATTGCACTGTGCGCTGTGCGCCACGCGCGCACCGTGCGTTGGTACGAATAATTCAATGACATGTGATCAACGATCCACCAATCAGATAATGGGGATTTATTCAGGTGTTGTATAAAACCAAATGTTCGTTATAGCGGCGTTTCACTGTAGTGCATGCAGTCTGAGGCCAAAGTCAATGGAAGGCTATGGGTTACTTCTTAATCCTGGTACATGAGGATACCAAGTATATAAACCCCGGACCTTTGTTCATAAACTGTACCAAAGACTTTAAGGCATGCAGGGACACTGCAATTAAGGGGAAATGTACCTGCCGATTTAACGAGAAAATCCTTACTTTAAGTGAAGATTCATGTAGGACTGGTAAAAAATACCCTGTGAAATATTTTCATCTGAACAAAGTTTCATTCGGGAAATAAACAGTGTGTCCGCGGACCCCAAAAATTGTGCATACATTGTACGTTTTCTCTGTTTTCTCTGTGTAGTATCTGCTGAGCTGAAACTTCACCAAGTTAGTTGTTGTGCACCATTGTTAAGATTTTGAGTAATGTTGTTGCTTCAAACGAAAAAAAAAAAATCACAAACGGCAAATGTTTTAGAGGACATTCAACATTTTCAATGTTTTGGAATTGGGATTTTTTTTTCCAAATTGTTGGTGGATGGGTGAAGATAGATAATTGAAAATCCAAATTCTCTTTTCATAAAAAAAGCCAGGAAAAACAAATCTAGATTTTGACTTGCGTACGCACCAGCGTTCCTTGCAAGCGTTTTTTTTTTGTAACTTCGTCCGCAATACAGGGTGAGTAAAAAAAAGAAATCCAAATGTCGGGACTACTGTTTTTAAGTACTGTTTGGGCGCAGTTCAAATCCGACGATTATTAACGCCATATTACTACAGAATAGCGTACAAATACTCCACGACGAAGCTGCCTCTACTGTCCGTATGTTTAGCACAGGCGGACATTATTACCAGTATAGAGGGCTTTTTTTGGGGGGGGGGTTCACATTATTTTTTAGGTAATATCTAATGAAAAGAATTGTTTAACAGAGCTGGGGGGTTGGACCTCCCCCTCCTGGATCGTGGCCTGGGCGGCTCTTGTACAGTGCTAGAATTTGATAGTATCTGCCGGCGAGACGTCGGACCATACGTCGTGTGAATAAAAGTCTTACTTGTGACCGAAAACATGTTGTTTACAATTACAAATGAAATTTAACCCCCCCCCCAAAAAAAAAAATTCGAAAGTTTCAGTGAGCTTTTATTCAAATGAGACATTGCACGAAAAAGATCGGCCCATGCGAAGCATATCAATTAATTTCAACTTTCGAATCATAAGAGCTGGACGCTCCTAATTCGTTCTGAATATAGTGTGCGCAATTTCAGAACTGGAGCGTTCTGTTCCAGGTTTCTCGGCCTATTATTAAGACAAATTGGTTTTGAGGAGAATTCTAAGAAAGCCTGATGGCCGAGTGGTTAGACTCGTCGTCCACGAATCGCGGAGTCCGGGGATCGAATCCCGTCAGTGTCTTTTTGGTTTTTAACGTATGAGTTCAATTATTCACTATAAGAGATTTAATTTCCCGTCGTAAAGTACCAACAGTACCTTAGCTTAATCGGTAAGCACTGCTGCTGGTACTGTCCGCGAGTTCCAGGTTGGCGCCTTCGTACAGGTTCAGGGCATGTGGTCCACTCGGAGGATCAGGGCTTAGGGGCCGCCCTGTTCCTCCCTTAGCTCTTTGCTTTTACATGGTGCCTGGCCCTCCGGGGTTATATGGATGGATAGGGAAGGAAGTGTGTATTGGTCGGGGACGCCGAGACCCCGGAAGAGAACTAAGGGATCGGCTGGGGCATTGTTATGGCTCAGACCGATCCCTGAAAGCTTGACTAGCACATAACTTTTTGATTTTTTTTAACCCTCTATCTTTTATACTTTGGTTTAGTTTGATATCTACAGCTGCTCGGCAGGTCTACGGGTAGTATCAAAATATTATTAAGACAAATTGTTTTTGAGGTGAATTCTAAGAAAGCCTGATGGCCGAGTGGTTAGACTCGTCGTCCACGAATCGCCGTCCACGAATCGCGGAGTCCGGGGATCGAATCCCGTCAGTGTCTGCCGCCCTGTATCTCCCTTAGCTCTTTGCTTTTACATGGTGCCTGGCCCTCCGGGGTTATATGGATGGACAGGGGAGGAAGTGTGTATTGGCCGGGAACGCCGAGATCCCAGAAGAGTCCTAAGGGATTGGCTGGGGCATTGTTATGGCTCAGACCGATCCCTGAATGCTTGGCTAGCACATAACTTATTGATTTTTTTATCCTATATTTTTTAAAACTGTTGTTTAATAAGTTTTATTTTTACATCTACTCGGCAGGCCTATACAGTAGTATTACAAACAAAGCAAAGTAATAAATCAATGAATTTTTAATAATTGACTATAATCAAGACGAAGTTTTGCTCGATCAATATGACTATGCCATTATTAATGTCGCAATTTCCAATTTAATAAGAGAACGCAGTATGCAATATTGTACCGGGCAAAAATAAAAATGTACATCTTAATATGTTTATTACATCGGTTTCAAAATAATAATATTTCTTTAATTGTGAACATTCCCCAAATATATAGTAATTCGCGAAATAGGAAATCGAAAGAAACTAAAGCCCCTCACCCTTGTAACTGGAAATACAAAATAAAGAAAATAAAGTCAAGTGGATAACACCTGTATGAATGTACCTTGAGGACCGATTTTGAAAATTCCATAACATGGGACTTTTACAAACTTGCCTTTGACTGTCAGTGACAGACAGTCACGGATCCAGCCGGCTGGGGGGATCAACCCCTCTCCTGCTCCGACACAATAAAAAAGTAAAGATGGCTTATCCGTTATAGTTGCCTTTTGACACCTTACAAAATTTCCGATGATGAATATAAATGACCCGCAAAAATCGTGGAACCAAACAGGCAGCAGGGGCGGAAGCAGAAATGTTGGCAGGGGGAGGGGAGTTCATCAGCAAACAAATATCTGCAATGTAGACAAGTTTTTCTCCAATATTTGAAAGATTTGGGCAAAAAACATCAATTTTGTGACAAATAAATTAACACTTTTCAATAATTTTACACCATATTTTCATCCATAACTTCTTTTGAAAAGCAAATCTCGTTACAATTGGAGTTTGAATGTGTTGTAGGGTCCCTTTGGCATCTTTCTAGCAATTTTCAAGGAATTTCATTTTTTGGTCAAAATTGAAAAAAATGCAAGGGGTTAGCCTTACTTTTTCATCCAAATTTGGCCAAAAATTGACTTTTCTCCAAACAATGCAGAACTTCCTTTTGAAGTCAGAGGAGCACCAATCAATACTCAAACACCCAACATTTGGAAGATTAGGGCAAAAACCATGGATTTTGTGAGAAATCAATTAATATTTTTCACTGATATTACCCCAGATTTCCATCCATATTTTCTTTTGAGAAGCAAATCTTGTCACACGGAGTTGGAATGTGTTGTAGGGTCCCTTTGGCATCTTTCTAGCAAGTTTCAAGGAATTT